ATGGCTTAATGTAATAGAAAAGCAGTAAGTCCTTCAACTGGAGGGAAGGCAAAACTGCACAAGCCTCTGACCTTCAGTGACCAGATGCGCGTCTTTTCCTGGGGCTTTCAGCTCTGTGTCTCTCCTCCTGCAGGCAACGGTGTAGAAATCTTAGGTCTTAATATATGTCATCCAAGCCTTAAAAAAATGAAAAAAAAAACAGAGAATCTTTGATTCACCAGCAAAGAAAAGTCCCTTCATTTCTTTTCCCTCAGCATCTCAGTTTTCACTCCCAAATGTACAGATCACTTTCAGAAGTGTGCTTATTATTGGGCTGGTTATGGGAATGGAAATGTCTTTTTTTTTCTTTTTTGGAGAGTTATGCTCAGCTTAACCTTCACCTGTTGGGAAACAAAACGCAAGGGAATTTCCATATAAGATTGCATAATGTGTTCTACTGCTGCTCATAACTGTAAAAAAAAATTTTAAAAAAAGAAGAAAGGAAGCTCTTAATAAGGTTCCTAGGAGATCTGCAAAAGTCCCTGCTTGGGAATTTTACTGGTCAGGTAGACCACTAGAGGTCCTTAAGGGAGTTTATTGGCTTTTAAGTTGTGATGTGAACAGTGAGATTTTATTTCTGATGTTTTGAATAGGCCTGGAGGCAACCAGATGCTGGAGATCGCATTTCGAAGGGGGACATTTTGAAGTGACTTTGTCCAAGCTTGAAAAAGCTAAGGAGAATGTCACCACAAAAGGACACCACACAAAAAAAGCAAACAAACCCTGAGAAGAGAATATTTGTACCTCAGGCTTCAACTGGAGGATTTTTGGCATTCTCTGAGCTTCGTTGTTTGCTTGCAGACATTTCATTGCCCAACTAGATAATTTCTCCAGTACTAAAAGGGAGTGGAAGAGGAGGAGGGGGAGGGGGAGAGGGAGGAGGAGGAGGAGGAGGAGGACGACGACGACTCTGGGGTTCTTGAGCTTGGTTGCTTTCTTGCAGACTTTTCACTAATAAAGGAGAATATTTGTAGCTCAGGGTTAAAATATGAGGTCCTTGGTGTTCTCTGAGCTTGCTTGTTTTCTTGCAGACATTTCATCACCCTAACTAGGTAACATCATCAGTGCTAGTAAGGAATGTGGTTTGCTGCAGGTTTATATTCTGGTGTCTTGCCTATCTGGGTGGGTAGGGGGTGGTCTTAGGGATTCTTTGGTTGGGCTGTTTACTAATGGCTCTTTGGCAGTTACTCAGTTGGGGTATTGCTTACTCGATTATTAGTCTGAAGTTGACCTTGGAGTTAATCTACGCTGAGTGCTGATTATTGGTGGGGACATGCTGGGGTCTTTTTCTCTTTTGGGCTGGTGGATTCTCTCTTTTGCATAGTCTATAGATGCTGTTGACGTTTATGTGTCTGTGGATGGCTGATTTGTCAGAGTGCCAGGTTTCTAGAAATGTCCTGTAGTTTTGGATTTGGCCTGGTCTAGGATTGTCACATTTTCCCAACTGAAACTACGGTTAAATCTGTCTATAAACCTGTGAAATTAAAGAATTTTCATCATGCATTTTGACTGCCAGTTGGAGTTCAGGGATGGGTTCATGGAGACGTTTCACTAACCAACCAAATAACAGTGCTAGTAGGGAGTGGGGTCACCTAGTTACTCAGCTAAGGACTAGCTGTGTAACGCATGGAGATCCACAGTTGACAAACCAGGTAGATGATTAAAGTTGAACCCAGAGAAAACCAAGATTACAGTGTGAACTATTAATGTTCAAAGCTCTAGCAGCCACCTTCCCCAACTTTCATCTTGAATGACAATTTCAGTCCATGTTTGAGGGTATTTTAAATTGATGATAAAATAGGGATGGATTTCAAAGTGTTTCTATATTTCTGTAAAACTTGGAATTCCCCTAAAAGTTCTGCTCACAACTGGGGCGTTTGCTAGAGCAGAATTTGCTGAAAAACCAATTTCAGCACAACATGAACTTCTTTGAATGTTAACAACTGTTGAGCGGTGGAAGGGCCCGCCTCAGGTGATTAAGGCGATGGACACACTTTAGTGGAAATATTAAGCTGAGGACGAAGGCAAGTAGAAGGCCACCAGGGATAGAACTGGACCAGAGCAGAAGTAGGTAATGAATTTCAGACCACAATCATACCTCACCCCCAGATTAGCTAAAGGCATGACTTCAATCTTCAATGAGGTGTTAGGATGCTAACAAGGCAAATACTGTTTTGGGGTGCATAAAAGGGAGCCCCACCAGAACCTTCCCTGGGAGCCACTTGGGTGTACTGCAGTGGTGAAAGTCACTGGAGAAAGCAATTTGGAAGGGCTTGAAAAGGAAACCAGGCCACCAAGAACATGGTGATTGGACACCATCAAAGCTGACCACACGCAGAGCGTAAAACAACTCAAATTTAAATCGCCAACTTGGACTGGACAGAATGGGTAATGTCATCATTAGTGATGATGGCATCACTCTAAGAATGGGGGTGTGTGTGGAGCGGACCAGGGTGGCATGAATTCTAGTCCTGCTTTAGGCACAAAGCCAGCTGGGTGACCTTGGATCAGTCCCTCTCTCAGTCCTAGGAAGCAATCATTGGCAAACCACTTCTATTAACACCTGGCCAAGAAAACTGCCAGGCAGGCAGGCAGGCAGGCAAGTCCTCCCTACTCCTGGCATGCTGTTATTATGGGATAGAGCCAGTCATTGGCATCATTCTTTGAGTAAAAATTCAAACTGGAGGCCTCAATGGAGATTCTCAACCATGGCTGTCCCAAAGGTGCTTTTTCCAAAAGACAACTTTCTTGTGTTTTTTTTTTCCCCCTGTGAAAACATTTTGCTTCTCATCCAAGAAACTTTATATGAAATAGAAACAGGGATAGGAGGAGTAGGAGTAGGAGTAGGAGTAGGAGTAGAATAGAATAGAATAGAATAGAATAGAATAGAATAGAATAGAACAGAATAGAATAGAATAGAATTTTGGGAGAGAGGAGAAGAGAAGAGAAGAGAAGAGAAGAGAAGAGAAGAGAAGAGAAGAGAAGAGAAGAGAAGAGAAGAGAAAATATGGAATGGAATGGAATAGCATAGCATAGCATAGCATAGCAAAGCATAGCATAGCATAGCATAGCAAAGCATAGCATAGCATAGCATAGCATAACACAGTTGGAAGGGACCTTAGAGGTCTTCTAGTCCAGAGGTCTCCAACCTTTTGGGCACCAGGGACCAGTTCCGTGGAGAAAGACTTTTCCACAGACCAGAGAGTGTTTGCTTTTGTGTGCTGCCTGCATCCCGCGGATGGAGCTTTGCTTGTTTGTGCGGCCCGGTTTCTGGCATGCCGTGGCCTAGTACTGGTCCATGGACCAGGGGTTGGGGACCCCTGTTCTAGTCCAACCCCCTGCTTGGGCAAGAAACCTTATAGCATTCCAGACAAATAGCTTTCCAGTCTCTTCTTAAAAACCTCCAGTGTTGGAGCACTCACAGCTTCTGGAGGCAAGTCGTTCCACTGCTTAATTGTTCTCACTGTCAGGAAATTTCTCCTGAGTTCTAGCTTGCTTCTCTACTTGATTACTTTCCATCAGTTGCTTCTTGTCCTGCCTTCAGGTGCTTCTCAATAAGGTGACCAACCGTCCTCCTTTTGGGAGAACAGTCCTCCTTTTTTGAGTTCTGTCCTCCCTCGAAAATGTCCTCCTAAATGTCCTCTTTTTCTATATTTGAAGACTAATCTGCAGGGCTTCTTTTTCCTCATAGAATGCCCAGAAGGCGTTCCGGGACCTTTTTTTGATGGTTTTTTTTCAACTTTTGCCTGAGCTGTGCTACTCCCCCTATTGGCTTTCGAAAGCCAATAGGAATTGCTGCTGAGTGCGCCAAAACACCCAGGCGGCAAACTTTGCACATGCAAGTTACAGGAACTTTGCACCCCTCACTGCTACCCAACTACACCATCTCTTACTTATTTCTGCAGATAGCTGGAGGAGACTGGAGCGGTAAGTTTTTCTTGATCTTCCCTGTTTGGTTCTACATGGGGATGCACAGGGTAGGCGGTGGTGCTGGGTGGTGGCTGCAGGGCCGGAGCCAGAGTGGCTGGTGCTTTGTGAGCCACGGGGCCAGCTCTACGGGGATGTGCAGGGTGGGCAGTGGTGCTGGGGGGCGGCTGGGGGGGGGGCGGCTGCAGGGCCGGAGTTGGCGCGGCTGGTGCTTTGCCTTTGCGAGTCGTGGGGCCGGCTCTACGGGGATGCACAGGGTGGGCGGTAGTGCTGGGGGGGCGGCTCAGGGCCAGAGCTGGCTCGGCTGGTGCTTTGCGAGCCGTGGGGTCGGCTCTCCATGGTAGGGCAGCAGTGCTGGCGGAGCGGCTGTGGGTGGGGGCGTGGCGGGCAGTTGACCTTCCATGGGCCGCGCCAGCTGGTGGTCTATGCAGTGCTGACCTGCGCTGCCACCACCTCACCCTGCACATCTACATGGCCATTCTGGAGCGCCTGGCTCACAACACCTGCCTCCGCTGCCCACCCCTGCACAGTCCAGCTGTGTAGATTTTTGGAGAAGTGAGAAATCACGGTTGAATGTTGATACTCTAGCTGCAGCACTTGCCATAAAATTCAATATGTTGTTGTTGTTTCTTGTTCAGATATTTCCAATATATTGTTAGAAGGTGATACATTGACAAAAAATATTCAATGGAAAAGTACTCATTTAAATAATTAATAGGCATGTAAGCATAATTACAATACAAAATGTTATTGTTACAAATGTTTTTATTATGCATTGATCATATTGTAGTGTATTCTGTATTATTCTTGCAATGAATACAATGTTTCTTTTATTTACGATGTTTTTTTCTTCTATTTATTCGTGTCCTCCTTTTTGTTGTAAAAAAGCTGGTCACCTTATTCTCAAAAAAGTCCAGTTGTCTTTTTTTTGGGGGGGGGGGGGGAAGCATCTTCATGTTGAACTGGAGACCGCAATTTAGGAGCTCGGGGGGGGGGCAGAAGAAACCCTGCCAGAAGCGGCGATCCAACCAAGCCCACGCGCACAGCCTCGATCGCCAGGTGGCACTGCGATTCCCCGACGCGCCCGGGCTCGCTTCCTTCTTGGCAGCTCTTTAGCGGGCTGGGGAAGGGCCGGCCAGGCCAGCCGGGGTTGCAAAGCTCCAGCAAAACGCCCGGTCGGCTTGCAAAGGAAAGGCCGGGCGGCGGGCGAAGGAGACCTTTGGGGCGTGGGGTGAAGGTGGGCGAGCGGGTGGCGCGCGCGAGAGAGAGCCGGAGGGGCAGATACGATGACGCGGCGCAGGAGCCTCCGGAGCGCGCGCGTGGGAGGAGCGGGCCCAAAACGTCAGCAAGCGGGCCCCCCCTCCTCGCTTTGCAAACGGGACGCTCGTGCGCTGAGTTGAGCTGATTCGTCTTTTTGCTTATTTTCTTTTTCTCCCCTCTTTTTTTTTTTGCATTTTATATTTTTGCATTGCTACCCTTGGAGAGGCGCATGCCGTGCAGCCTCTTGGGGAAAACAAACAAACAAACAAACAAACAAAAAACAAAACCCGAGAGGATTTATTTGCATTTATTTACTTGTGTATTTATTTACTTATTTACTAAAAGAGGGCTGAGCGCCCTCGCTTTGCCTTTTTTTCCGGTTTTAAATTGGCTTTCCGATGGCAAGGGAAGCTGCAAAATGGACTCTGTGTCGACTAAGCAAGAGAGATGGGCGGATGGGTTTTTATGAGTTGCATCCCTCACCCTGAATGCAAAGCCACCTATGGGGGAGCCATCCCGTTATTTTTAAAGCAATAGAGCCTAATTTAAGATTAAGGTCCGAAGAAGATGCTAAGGATGCCAGAACAAGGTGGGGGACTGGGCGATCTGTCTGGCAGTAGGAAGCTGATGGCCTTAGGGGCTCTAGTGGGCTGGTTGCTGGTGGTCCACTTACTGGTCAATGTTTGGTTGCTTTGCATCTTATCAGGCTTGTTGGCCTTACTGGGGGGCTGGTTGGGTTCCCAAATGATGGTGGGCACCAGCCACAAAATTCACCTGGAGAGGTTTCTTCCCCTCGAAAGCTGCCCCCCGAATCCCGAGGCAAAGAGGGAGTTGGATGAAGAGATCCGGAATATTATTCAAAAGATCATTCGGGATTTTGTATCTTCCTGGTACCGGTCTGTGAGCCACGAGCAGAACTTTGAGAAGGAGGTTGAAAAAGCAATGATGGGGTTGGCTCTGGAGCTCAAAAGGAGGATGCTTCTGGTGGACAAGACGGCCTTGACCCAAAAGGTCCTCCTCCTGGCAGGGTGCCACCTGCAGGCCTACAAGAAGGTCCAGGAGAAACGGAAGGAAGCAGAAAGCCTTGGAGACCCTTCCGAGGAGGCCAGTAGACTGTGGCAAGCCTACTGTGAATTCTCAGAACCTCATTTGGCTGTTCAAAGTCCTACACACCAGGTGGAATATACTAGGCGCATGGTGGACTTGCTGCTACGTGTCTTGGTGCCCGAGCCCCATCTGGAAAGCAGGACTGGGCGCTTTGTGGTGGTGGAGCTCGTGACTTGCAACGTGCTGATGCCTGTGATTAACAAAATGGCAGATCCTGACTGGCTCAACCAGCTGTGGATTGGCCTTTTCTCCAGGAAGGCCACCGGCACCACCGAGGTAGTGGAGACTTCCCCAGAAGTATCGCCCGCCTCCTCAAGCCAGCCCACGGTGCCCAGTGTTTTGCCCCTGGTCCTTCAGCCAGAAATGGCTACTGAGGGTGATAAAACCCTACCGAAGGATTTTGAGCCTTTCAACAGGAACGTGGTAGATAATTTGGAGAACTTCTTGGTGGAGGGAAAGGAACCAGTTGACCGAGCGCTGAGCATTCCCATGAATGAGAAAGATAATGGTAGCGTGGCTGCACCCCTACTTCACTCTGCTACCCTCGGGTCCTTCTTCCCCAGTGGAGACTTGGAAGTTGAGTCCCCCATGTCTGATGCAGGGAAAGACTCTAGTTCCCTGATTGTTGTGTCCGCAGAAGAGCTCTTTGCTAGCTCCCTTCTTGATTTGGAAGGGTCTGTTGAGGTGGATGCAGAAGACAGTTTGGGCGAGAAAGACAGGTGCGCAGAGGATATTGCTGAGGGCTTCCCCTCTGAAGCCAACCTCCATGCCGCCTCCCTCGGCCCATGTCCTGACATCCACATAGAGCCAGTTGCAGAAGACACCTTAGCTTCTTTGACTGCTCTTTTGGAGGATCCGGAAAAGACTTTCTTGAGACGGCCATCCTACCTGGTGAAAGAGTTGGAGCCACCTGGAAGCTTGGCACACAGCCCTCAAGATCTGCCAAGTCTGCTTTCTTCCTCCCCCACTGCCCCTATGGGCACCTTCAGCTTTGAGCCACTCAGTCCTGATGGCCCTGTCATCATTCAGAATCTGCGTATCACTGGAACAATCACTGCTCGGGAGCATAGTGGAACAGGATTCCATCCTTACACCTTGTACACTGTGAAGGTAATCCTGGTTTCCTTCCTTCCTCCTTCCCTCCCTCAATCCCTGTTTTTCCTCCCTTCCTCCCTCCCTCCTTCCATTTTTCCTTCCTCCATTTTTTCCTTCCTCTCTCCCTCCCAAGCAAATCAAATATGATACATGCTTGAAAATCTTTGTTTTTCATCAACAAAAAAACAGAAGCTAAACAGCCAACCAACAGTGTTTCTTGTCACGCCATCCCAAACATCTGAGATGACCCTTCTGAAATGCCAACAGAATCGGCCCATCTCTTGAAGTCAAGTCAAGCTTTAGACCAGGGGCCTTCAAACTTGGCCCCTTTATGACTTGTGGACTTCAGCGTGCCTGGCTGAGGAATTCTGGGAGTTGAAGTCCACAAGTCATAAATGGCCAAGTTTGAAGAGCCCTGCTTTAGACCATTATACAGTACAGGGTTTGGTTTGGCAAATAGTCACCTCACTCATGATGGTGTTTTTCTTCTTCCCGTAGTATGAGACAACATTAGACAGTGACAGCACTAACAGCCTCCAGCAAGTGGCATACCATACCGTGAACCGAAGGTACCGTGAGTTCTTGAACCTACAAACCAGGCTGGAAGAGAAACCAGATCTACGGAAGTTCATAAAAAGTTAGTCCTGAATTCCTTTTCTGTAGAACAGTGGTTCTCAACCTTTTTAATGCCGCGACCCCCAACCGGTCGTAAGTCAAGTCAACCGGTCGTAAGTCAACTGGTGCAGCACCATTTGCAGAATGGGACTTTTGGCGGACTCAGCAGGGCAGAGACAGCCTGGATAATTCCTATTGACTTTGGAAAGCCAATAGAATTAGACTCTATTCAAGAGAGTCTATTCTATTGGCTTTCAAAAGCCAATAGAATAAAAGGGAGTAGCACAGCTAAGGAAAAGGGGGAAAAAATGGCGGACTGCGTTGTTTGGCGACCCCCGTGAAATGGTCGTTCGACCCCAAATGGGGTCCCGACCCACAGGTTGAGTACCACTGCTGTAGAATCTTGTTATAGGCAAAGTGGGGGTTAATTAAGTTAATGTAGAATGTCTTATCTTGTTTGTTTTTTTTCTCTTCCCCTTTTCTATCCACTGGCGATTATCATTGATCATTTATTTATTTCATACGGCTCAGCAATAGGGTGCATAAAACAACATATAAAATGTGTATTAAAATGCACATAGTTTATATTTTGATACACATTATGGTTAAGTTGGGGACAACAATTTAAATGAACCATCTGCAAAATGTCTGGATATATTGTCCTTGGCCTAGGCAACTTCGAGGAACAAGCTTATTGTCAGAAAAATGGAATAAAAGCAGATAAAGGCATAGTTAGGCTAGTTCTACACCTAATCTCTTTTCACAATCTCTGTTTTAGTTTGAAGCACAGTTCTCTGGGGCACTTAATCCAATAATGTTGACTTTTCTGACATAGTATGCTAACCCTTGATCATCTTTTTGATATTAACCCTAATTGGGCAGGTTCTCACAATCTTCTGGACATTAATTTGACATGAGTCAAATTAATAGAACATAGACAGCAGAAACCACCAATCAAACAACAAATCATATTATGACCTAGTGCAAGGTTTCTCAACCTTAGCAACTAGAAGATGTGTGGACTTCAGCTCCTAGAATTCCCTGGCTGGCTGGGGAATTCTGGGAGTTAACATCCACATGTCTTCACGTTGCCAAAGTTGAGAAACACTAGCCTAATATGATGTAAAACCAACTGAAAAATGCTGGGTTTTATTGCAAGCAATTTGGAAATCTATATTTTAATCATGAATGATGAGCTAGTATGATTAACATGGCAGTAAAATTACTCTTTGTTTTTTTAAAAAAACATGGCAGACATAAAAGGTCCAAAAAAACTGTTTCCGGATCTTCCATTTGGTAACATGGACACAGAGAAAGTTGAAGCCAGAAAAAGTCTCTTGGAATCGTTCTTGAAGGTCAGGATTTCTTCCTGCTATTCATTTAAATCTGGCCTGGTTTTATTGTCATTTTTAAAAACTCACGTAAAAAATACCTCATAAACATAAAAGGAATAGCAGCCAGTGCAAATGTGATCCTCCCTCTTTTTCTTGTCTACTTCAGTATTCCCCTCGCTTCAAAATGTTGAATGCGGCCCTCTGCTCTTAATTATGACCCACCTCTGTCCTAAACCTCTGGTGGGATTGTGTCAAGGATGAAACTTTGGCAGCTACGTGCCTCTGCGTTTCATCTTGCTTTTAGGGGTGGATTAAGGGGTGGAGGGATGTTACTTTCAAGTGGGTTAAATGGAGAAATGAAACCTCTTCGATTCAGCTGAAGTCCGTGGGAGCCTGAAACCTTGTCAAGGACACCAGAACAGGTGTGGATTTGAAGCAGACAGTTCCCATAACAAAATGATATGAATTACGTAAGACGTTAGGGGATTTGGCTGGGAAAATGATTGTTTAAGTCTACGAATTGGTGTGGGAACCTCAGAGTCAGTTTTGCTTCGACAAAACCCTGCAGAGTGTTCAGTAAACAGTAATTTTCGGAAATGGAATCAACCTAGAGTTTTATTTGGATTCCCCAGCTGGATGTTGACAGAATTTTTCTTTGCTTCACTGCTTGTCTGCTTGCCCGTTGCAGCAACTATGCGCAATTCCTGAAATTGCCAATAGCGAAGAAATGCAAGAATTCCTGGCCTTGAACACGGACGCAAGGATTGCCTTCGTCAAAAAACCATTTGTGGTCTCCAGGATTGATAAGGTAATGCATTTGATGTTGTTACACTCCTATACATGATTAAACCAAACCAATAAGCTAGCTTCAAACCACTTCCTCCAATAGCTCTTAATACCTGGTGGGTATTTGAGGATTGTCCAGGTCCATTTCATTCTCTGGGACCTGATGGACATCAGATTGCCTATCCATAATTACTTCTTTAACTTCTTGTAAGATATCACGTTCATGATATCAATTATGGCAGAGGTCCTCAACCTTTTGGGCATCAGGAATCAGTTCTGTGGAGAAAGGTTTTTCCACAGACCGGAGGGTGTGTGGTTTTGTGTGCTGCCTGCATCCCACAGATGGGCCTTTGCTTGTTTGTGCAGACTGGTTGATGGCATGTTGTGGCTCAGTACCAGTCCATGGACCAGGGGTTGGGGACCCCTGAGCTATGGCATCTGGTAACCTGGTCTTCAGATGACCTCTTTCATTGTGTTTGAGTTTTCAAGCAACAGTTCAAAGATTTTTTTTCTATATCATTTATTCAAAATACTTAAACTTAACTTCCACTATGAATACTTCCAATGACTTATCTTGTTTAACTCCATCAGGTGTTGACTAATTTATTCTTGCTGTCCAAGGATGCTCTCTCTTTTATAGTACTTGTATTAAATTATTAGATCTATATTATAGAGATAAAACTAATACAATTTAAAAAGTATGAAGATGTATAAAATTTGTTTGAAAAAAATTAAGTGCAGAAAACAAAGACCCTCCAAATTGATTTAAGAACTAAGGTTTGATTGAACCTTGAGTTTATAAAAAGTTACATTAATGGCTGAACGGAATCCTACTTTTTGCAAGTCATCACAAAAACGTCACGTTACTACCGTGTAATCACAAAAAACGACAGTAGCAACAGAAACCAGCTGTCCAGAATACATATAGGTGATCTCAAGATCTCTCCTTTCTCCAGAGAGATTTCTGTGATACAGATCCACCCTCCATCTGTTGTTTTGCACTGTAATTTCTCCTGCTATCTACAGGACGTCAGTTTGCCATTTCCTCACCGGAAGTCTCCCCTGTCCAAGATACTCTCAACACTGCTGTCCAGCACTCCATGCAGTCCTCGACTTACAACAGTTCATTTAGTGACCGTTTGACATTACAACAGCACTGAAAAAAGTGACTTATGACAACCACTGCAGCATCCCCCTGGTCATGTGATCCAAATTCAGATGCTTGGCAGTTGACTCATATTTATGATGGTTGCTGTGTTCTGGGGTCATGTGATCCCCTTGGGTGACCTCCCGACAAGCAAAGTCTAGGAAGCCAGATTCACTTAACCGTGTTGCTTACTTAATAATGGCAGAGATTCACGTAACAACTGGGGCAGTGAAAGTCGTAAAATGGGGCAAAACTTAACAACTGTCTCAGTTAACAACCGAAATTTTGGGCTCTGGTCCTATGTTGTGGTCCTATGTTGTAGTTCTATGTCGAGGAGTACCTGTGCTGTCTTTTATGTCAGTGAAGGTTTCCTTTTATTGCAGATTGTAATGAACGCCATTGTGGATACATTAAAAACGGCGTTCCCCAGATCTGAGCCACAGAGTCCTACAGAAGAACTGAGTGAGGCAGAAGTAGACGGGAAACAGCAAAGTGATGGAAAGAAAGCCAGCAGGTAAGAGTTCCTGTTGAGCTCGAATGTGCAGATCCATAGTAGCAACTCTTTTCTGCAGCCTGAAGTCATACTGCCATGGATATCTTTATTGGGTTCCCTTAGGGCAGTGGTTCTCAACCTGGGGGTCAGGACCCCATTTGGGGTCGAACGACCATTTCACGGGGGTCGCCAAACAACGCAGTCCGCCATTTTTCCCCCCTTTTCCTTAGCTGTGCTCCTCCCTTTTATTCTATTGGCTTTGGAAAGCCAATAGAATAGACTCTCGTAAATAGAGTCTAATTCTATTGGCTTTCAAAAGCCAATAGGAATTCTCCAGACTGTCTCTGCCCTGCTGAGCCCGCCAAAAGTCCCATTCTGCAAACGGTGCTGCACCAGTTGAGTGGTCCTCGACTTACGACCGGTTGAGTAGTCCTCGACTTATGACCGGTTGGGGGTCGCGGCATTAAAAAGGTTGAGAACCACTGCCTTAGGGAATAAACTCTCCGTGCCTGCAAACATTAATCCATGTCTTGACATGAGTCTAGTCCTGCTGGTATTCTTCAAAAATGATCAGGTCCAAGAAAGGGCAAAAATACTTCATACTATCCTTCAGGAATAGCTGTTTGATTATTCTGGGTCTTTAGTGGTGATTATGGCTAATAGTGTTGGAATTATTAAGTTGACTATTAAACTTTTGCTGGACCTGAGGGAACGGTACTGTTCGGATTCTTATCTGTATTCCCCCCCCCCCGTAAGAGATCTAATTTCAGTAAAGGGATAAAATGGGGGGGTGGGGGGAGGAGATAACTGGGTTTTCAAAATCTTGGCTGGACCTGACATTCCTAAGCGGTGAACAGACTTTTTGCTTTGTCTTAAGAAATCCCTTAGAGTGTTTGACAAATTTGTGTTTTCTAGTTTGATTGTGTGAATGTGCAGTGTCCCACTGGACTCTCTGCGGTCTGCTTTCCCCTGCTCAATGTGTTGTCCACTTTTGCTTTAAAATGGTCCACTGGAAGGGTGCCTAATGTAGATGCACATTAGATTGTGCCCAATGTAAGGACCTGCCCCAGTTGGTCCCTCAGGCAAGTAAAAGTCTTGACTCTGTTGAGGTTAATCGAAAGAACTTGTATTGAGAAATAGCAACAGCAATAGCACTTAGATTTATGTACCGTTTTACAGCCCCCTCTAAGCAATTTGCAATGTTAGCATCTTGCCCCTAACAATCCGAGTCCTCATTTTACCGACCTCAGAAGGATGGAAGGCCGAGTCAACCTTGAGCTGGTCAGGATCGAACTCCTGGAGTTGGGCAGTGAGTTAGCCTGCAGTACTGCATTCTAACCACTAGGCTATCACGGCTCTAATGGATAAGCAGGGGTAGGCAACCTTGGCTCTTTTATGTCTCGTGGACTTCAACTCCCAGAATTCCTGATCCAGCTATGCTGGCTCAGGAATTCTGGGAGTTGAAGTCCACGAGTCATAAAAGAGCCAAGGTTGCCTACCCCTGGGATAGTGGATACAGAGAAGTCAGGCGGAATCTGAAGGTCCCACGCAAAGCGCACTAACAGAGTCTTAGAAATTTGAATGCACTTTCTTTTTCCTTCTTCATGAGAAATAGGCAGAGTGTTGTCTGAGTTGCTTTCTCAGTTTGTCAGGACCCCAAACCAAGGAAGACACGGCTGGGGTTCTTCCAAGCAGATATACAGGTAGTCCTTGACTTATGTCTATAACTGAGCCCAAAATTACGGTCATAAGTCACCTACAGTTGTAAGTCAAGGCATCAATGTGACCGGAAGTAATTTTCTGGCCTTCGCAATGCTTGCTAAACAAACTCATTCATTTGAATGACTCCTTTTTTATTGTTGTTGAAAAAAATGCCAGAAACCAAAAGCCATCATGAATCCTCACGTGATCATGGACTGCAGTGAGGAGTATTAAAGCTGACCCACCCGACATATCATGTGGCCACAACAGGGCGGTGTGACCATTTATGGTGGCTGATGGTGGCTTGTGGACAGTAAAACACCCATTCTGTGGTTTGTCTAACTTCAAATGGTCCTAAAAAGACTGGCCATTAAGTGAGGACTACCTATATGCCACCATCATGTGCTTCCCAGTGCACACACAAGCGCAACATGAGGGCAGAAGAGAAACAGGCACAAAGATGCAACATGTTACTTAAATGCAAAATGCTTCCTAAAGTAGCACCTTCTGGTATAGACCTTGGAAAGGATTTGCGAAGCCACACACTGTGTGTTTTCTCTCACTTGCTGACAGTGACGTGCTATTGACATTTTTTGCAGCTGCTGATAATCACAGGAATTCTTGTGGAGTGGCCAACCGTTGGAAACAACCCATCGATGGGAGTGATTGAGTTCCTCAGATTAAATGAATGAATATTGTGTTTTCCTGCCTCTCTTTTCACAGGCCTAAGCTGAAATTCCCATCTGGCAAAATGCTGAATGTGGCCGGAACACAGGAGAAGATTTTATATTCTTTCAGGGAAGGCCCGAACGTAAGTCTGTCTTCAAGGCCGAGAAGTGTTGAAAGAAAACTTCCAATAGTTAGCAGAAAGAGGTGTTTCTCCGTTTTGTTCCAATCCTCCTCTTCTTCTAGGTCTCCGAATTCCTCTCCCTGGCAAGGATGGAGTCCTTTATTCAGAACCAGGAGAGATTGATGGAGGCCATGTCCGGCCAAGGTCCAGAGAAAGAGGAGGATGAAGAAGCTCCCTCAGATTTGAATCCAATGCCTGTAGAGATGCTACAGCAAACAGCAGATGAAGAGACAGATTCTGGTATGTCCTCTCCAGCTCCAAAATATGCTTCTTTCTGCTCCTGTTTGTTTCACATGCTACTGTTTTTGTAGGGCGTCTAGGTGTTCTTCAACACTGCTCAACCCAGGTTAGAAATTGCAAATTTCAACTCCACCATTAACATCCTACGGGTTGTTAGAAGCCCAAGTTAAAGAAGGTTGGAAACTGCGGTCCTACAGACCTAAAAAATGCTCAGTTCGGGAACTAAATGACCCCTACTGTGGCAAACATTTTGTGACCTGGCAAAACGAACACTCGTGGCAACCATTTTGTCAAAGTGTATTACACATACAGTGCCAGATGGGCCCATCAGCCCCAGATAATTGGAATTCTTTGAAGTGGACAGCACTGACCTATACAGATTGATTGACGGCTCATTAAAAGACACCTTTTTGCCTATTCTGTCGTGAGAGGTCGTCAGTTTCGAAGGCTAAAAAATAGAGCTTTTGAAATAGAAATGGTCTCCATTGTCAAATCTGTGATCGACCACAAGGTGGCAGTAGAATAGCATGAATTTGAAATAAATCTTCATGAATAAGTACTGAGGGTTTAAACCAGTACCGAATTAAGGACCGGCTTGCAATAATCTATTAAAGGCTTTTCCTACCCACCAAATTCTTGGGATGCAAATGATGGCCTGTGCTGAATTTATGGGCTGGGGAAAGGTAAAGAGGCATGGAGACTGAGGATGGGACGGGACAGAACAGAACAGAACAGAACAGAACAGAACAGAATAGAATAGAATAGAATAGACAGAGTTGAAAGGGAACTTGTAGGTTATCTAGTCCAACCCCTCACCCCAAAAACAGGAGACCATTTCTACCAGATGGCAGTCCAGTCTCTTCTTGACAGGTTGTCAAGAAGCAACTGGACTGTCATCTCTAGAGACGAGAAAGCTTGGGATGTCATCTCTAGAGACGAGAAAGCTTGGAAAGAAATGAAGCCCCTCCGTTCTTACTCCCTGGAGATTTCTCAGGCATCAGCATCTCTTTATAGCAGTCCTGGAAATCAAATCAGTTGTTTCCCGATCTTCTGAATGCCTGTGGCTTCTCACATTGCAGTGCACCGCAGTTCTTAGATGGTTCCCGCATATAAGTAATGATTAAAGCCGAAGCTGCTCAGCTCTTAAGATCAGCCAAGGTTGGCTACAGCTAATCCTTGAGTTACAACTCTAATGGAGCCTGCCCGTGATGGTTCCAACTTGTGGCGATAGTCAAGTGAGGTGCCCATGTGATCGTCTTGCTTAATGACCCCATGCCTGCTCTCCCTGATGCGGTCATTAAACAGTGGCAATGGCAGCATGTAATACTTGCACAAGCAGAAGAAAAAAATGATGAGTCTACGTCTGTAGGCTGAGTGAGGCCTTCTGTCTGGATTCTCCTTAATGTTTTGTTTTTATTCTGCAAATAACTGCTTGATTAACCATTTTCTCCCTTGCTGACTGATTTGTTTTATTGCCTTTAAGAAGGCACAGTAAACGCATGGAAATCTTGTGGCTAACCTGATTAAGCCAAGGAGAGTTGCCACGTTTTGTTCTTTAAGGAGGGATAAAAGCTATTTTTACACTTTTTAAAATCCTGACTTTATTATTTTTATAAATAACTCAAGGTGGTGAATATGCCCAACACTCTTTCCTCCTTCTACTTCCCCACAACAAGAATCCTGTGGGATGGTTTGGGATGAGAGAGGGTGACTGGGTGAAAGTCACCCTGCCTGCTTTTGTGCCTAAGATGGAACTAGAACTGACGGTCTCCTGGTGATTGGTCCCAAGTCACCCAGTCAGCTTTCAGGCCTTAAATTAGAACTTCTGTGATTGGCTCTGGGTCACCCAGCCTGCCTTTGTGCCTAAGGTAAGACTAGAATTCACAGTCTCTTGATGATTGGGCCAAAGTCACCCAGGCAGCTTTCATGCCCGAAGCAGGACTAGAACTCACAGTCTCCTGGTTTCTAGCCTAATGCCTTCACTAGTACCCCAAGCTTAATGGTTAAGTGCATACTTTTCATGGTGATGTGATCTTTAGTATCTCAACTGGACTTAGGAAAAAAAATGAATGGACAATAGTGAAGTGGTAAGCCTTGTGTAAAAGTTTCTTATGTTTGCAGGAACAGAAACTTTGCTGGCCGATATTGTTCTGGACCTTCTTTGTCTGATCATGGTAGACCAGTGGAGTTGGCTATGGTCAGAGAACATGCAGAAGATCCTACAGCTGCTCTTTGGGACATTGATCCAGAGGTAAGGTTTTAGTGTGCAACCAGAATTGCACAGTTGCTCTTGATGCGGGTATCAAGCACACCATGGTTTTGAGTTGATTCCAGAAATTGGAGGCCCCAACAGGAAAATATTGTTTTCTTAAATTATCACCTGCCTTCCCAGTGCCTGGAAGTTTTCCAGAGATGGTCTTTCAGTGATCTGCAATGATAAGAGCCCTAGGGGCGCAGTGGTTCGAATGTAGTACTGCAGGCTAATTCTGCAGACTGCCAGCAGTTCAATCCTGGCTCAAGGTTGACTCAACCTTCCGTCTTCCCAGGTCAGTAAAATAAGGACGCAGATTGTTGGGGGCAAATATGCTGACTCTCTAAACCGCTTAGGGAGGTCTATAAAGCACTGTGAAGAGGTATATAAGTCGAAGTGCGATTGCTATCCTTCCTTTCTTCTTTCCTTCCTTCCTCCCTCCCCCTGTCTCTCCCTCCCTCCCTCCCATGGTGGTGCAGTGGTTAGAATGCAGTATTGCAGGCTGACTCTGTCCACCTGCTAGCAGTTCGATCCTAACCAGCTTAAGGATGACTCAGCCTTCCATCCTTCCGAGGTCAGTAAAATGAGGACCCAGATTGTTGGAGGCAAGATGCTGACTCTGTAAACCACTTAGAGAAGGCTGCGGAGTGGTATATAAGTCTACGTGCTATTGCTATCTCCTAATTCTTTCTCACTCCTAAAAGAAGTTGCCCACCAGGCCCCAAAACACTGTCCAGAATAAGTATCCCCCACTGAAACGGACTTAAGCATACCAACAGAAGCATGCGTTTGTTAACTGACCAGCTCAGTGGCGACGTGGATGTTGAATTTTTGCTGATGGTCTGTTCTTCTCCCCCATCCTACCCCTCCCCTCCTTTCCCTATAACCGTCAGCCCCAAAGGACAGCTGTCTGGGGTACGAAGGACATCATACTCACCGTCTGGCTTATTTGAGCTATTTGAGGCAAAGGTTGCCAAAAAATGTTGAGGTCAAGGGGATGCTAATAGGTACAAGCCTGCTGATTTTCTTTTTAAAGATAACCAGGTCAGGAAGAATGAGGGCGTCTCTGAAAATGAGCTTTTAAAAATGGAGCGAACAAGCGGGAAGTCGATACCCTTGAGAGAAGATGCTTTGAGCACGAGGACATTGAGGGGAATGTCATACCTCACTCAAATGCTGGACTGTCACCAGCCCGGGCAGCTCTGATAAAGATGTATGCTTCTTTGAAGAGAGGAGGATGACATGGAAGCGAGTCCTAACCGAGCGGGCTTGCAAAATGTTCCCCGCACAACGTTGCAACTTATATATATATATAAAGGTAGTTTTGGGCTTCCAATTTTGGTCCGGGTTCAGCTGTTGTAGACCACAAGGCTAGAAGTTGCGTGCAAAATGGAAGGGCTTAATGTCCCCGCCTAGAATTTCTTTCTTTCTTTCTTTCTTTCTTTCTTTCTTTCTTTCTTTCTTTCTTTCTTTCTTTCTTTCTTTCTTTTGTCTCCTTCTCTTTGTTTTCTTTTTCTTGGATGTGTGGTCCTCAGCTTATGACCACAATCGTGCCCAACGTTTCTGCCGCTAAGCAAGACATTTGTTAAGTGAGTTTTGCCCCCTTGGATGACCTCCCTCCCTTGCCACATGCTGTTCAGGGAATCGCTGCAGTTGTGAAGTCAGCAACACGGCTGGTCAGTGAACCTGGCTTTCCCATTGTCTTTGCTTGCCAGAAGATCACAAAAGGGGATCACCTGACCCCGGGATGTTGCAACCGTCACATATGTGAGATGGGTGACAAACAGCTGAATTTTGATCACGTGGCCACGAGGATGCTGCAGCGGTCATAACTGCAAAAATGGTCATAAGTTGCTTTTTTTCAGTGCCGTTGTAAACATCGAATGGTTACTGGAAGAATTTTGTGTGGTAAGTCAAGGACTACCGATAAACCCAGAATCCCAGTTAGGCCAAGAAGGTAGTAGGGCAGAAAGCAACAAAGAAGCATTAAATGGATGCTAATGTTGGCTCTCTGAAACACACTTAACCTCTTGCACTGCTGGTTCGTCGCATTTTGCGAATTTTTAGATTGCATTCATCGGGCCTTCAAAGTCTCTGTGGTGTGAACTTTCAGGAAATCCTGGTTGCTGATGCTTGTGGATCTGTCTTATGAATTAGACTATTTAAAGGGAAAGGGATGAGTTTAAAACAGGGTCAGCTGAGATGTTCCGGAGAAGGCTGATCCAGATGGGAAGAGCTTCTCTGGATTCAGATAAAAAAGTGGGGTAATCAAGTCCCTATATCGGGGGTCTTTAAACTTGACCCTTTTATGACTTGTGGACTTCAACTCCCAGAATTCCTCAGCCAGGCACGCTGCCTGAGGAATTCTGGGAGTTGAAGTCCACAAGTCATAAAAGGGCCAAGTTTGAAGACCCCTGCCCTACATCTTTCTGGTCTTTGGGGCAAATTCTTCCATCCAGGTTTAGCTATGGTTAGGCGCAACCCAGCATAGTTGGAAATAAATCTTCATTCACAAGAGGTATGTATGTCATCTATTAGATCTCAGTAAGGGATAAGGGAAGGCTTTGGTCAACTGTACTGCAGTCTAGTTTTTTTTTTTTTTTTCATTGTGTTAAACCAACATAGTCTTGATAGACGATATAGGAGGAGACATGGCCACAGACAGTATCAGTGGAAAAGCTGTTAGACAAGCTTGACTTTTGACAACTCCTGTAAAATCACTTCCTTATATCCCTTAAAAAAAAAAAAACTTGTGTAAGTAGGCACATGGCATTTTGGCTTAGATATCATACTTGTTTGGCTAATTCTGTATCCCGTTCAGGTAATTCTCAACTTAAAAACCATTTGTTTAGTGACGGTTCAAAGGGCCCTGAAAAAAAGAAAAGACTTGTGACCATTTTTCACACTCAATGACCGTTGAAGCATCCCCACGGTCATGTGATCAAAATTCAGAATTCAGATGTTTGGCAACTGGCTCACAAGGGGTCCTGGGATCACCTCTTGTGACCTTCAGATGAACAAAGTCAATGGAGACACCAGGTTCACTTAACAACCCAGTTACTGACTTAACAACTGCAGTGATTCATTGAACAGTTGTAGCAAGAAGGGTTGTAAAATGGGGCAAAATTCCCTTTAACAACAGACATTCTGGGCTCAATTGTGAACATCAGTCAGGGACTATCTGTATTCCTCTCCCTATCCAACCTAAGAGATTATGGCTATTCTCAACCGAGCAAGGAGTGAAGACTAGATTGCTAAGGCAAAAGAACCCCATGGAAGAAGAGAGTGTAAACCAGTTCTGTGCTTCTTCCAAGATAACTCTGTGGCTATGATATTATCAGGAATTGAACTCAGTTTTTCTTTTAGCACTGTGGGTTTCACAGTGCATGCCTAGATCTTAACTGAAGCACATCTTTCTTTTCCCTGGAAAGAGTCAACAAGCATCAAGCATCTTGGCTTGGGTTAGTTGGCCACGTTCTAGTAGCAATAATTGTTGCTGCTACTCTTCTTTATGGCTATTCTTTGTAAAATGCCTCGAATTCAGGGTCCCCTGGCAATAATGTCAGAGCAAGTGTTGTTCCTGGATCTTCTCACTCAAAGACAGCAGAAGAATACGAGGAAAGTTGCAATCGGCTTATGTTCCAGGCAGGATCATAGAGTTGGAAGAGCTTCTTGTAAAAACTCCTAGCAAGGAAGGAATTGTAAAGACACAGTTCTTTTATATCTGAGTGTTAAAACCCCTATTGCATACAGAAAGTCCACCCTAGAAGTTAGCCCTTGTTCTGCACCCAATGCCAGCCCTTCAACATCTATCAAACAAGGGTGTCCTTCACCTTAAAATCGCTCCGCCCGTGACATGGCGGCCTTAAGCCTCTTTTCCATGGCTGGGAAGACCAACTGGCTGATTGAGCCTGTTCTAAATCTCTCCCAATGATCTGATACTGTGGCAACGTCCAGAGGAGAAAAAGCAGATGACCGAAAAAGGTCTTGCTAGGGAAGGCAGGCGTATCCCCTTCTCCGAAAAGGCAGGCCTGTCCCCTTACGTAACACAAGAGCGATCCTTTTTTTGGTGGCTACTGATGGTAAAGAGATGGTTGGAGCAGCCAGCCAAGAAATGAGATCATCGGCAGCTAAGAAAAGATTTTTCAGCCTGGGTGGGCTCTCCGCTTGATCTGTAAACAATCCCTTTTGGTCCAATGCAGACATTCTGCTGTCCTTGCTAGCAAAATGCCTGTCTTCAGAAGAGGCGCAGTAGACAGAGAAGGGCCCCAGCCCTCCCTCCCCCCTGGAATTTTTTTTACTGTGCCTCTTTCTGGCATAAGGGTAGCCATTGTAGGGGGCTCTCTGGAGATTTGCGCTAAATCCGTGGGCGATGGCAGCTATTAAAAAAGCAAACTGGGGTAATCTCATCTCTTACATCTACACAGCGTGGTCCTGACTTCTGTTTCTGGGCCACACTGCAGTTCGATGGAATGCAAGGAACGAATGTCTGTCTGGGGATAGATTAAGATCTTTATGCACTACTGTCATTGGTGAAAAATCTAGGCCTTTGCGGAAGGCGTATCGGGAACCTTTTGATACTTGTTTGCTAAAGACAAGCCAAAGCATTTCCTGGCTATTAAAGGCATTCGGAGCCCATCAGGTGAGCAAGCTGTAAGCATCCCAACCATCTCAGCCACTCTCTATAAGCCTCTGAGTCAGCTGGGAGATAAAAATACAGATCCCAGCAGCCCCAAACACGAGGTGTCTGCCATTCCTCACGGTGTTCTGCCTTAAAATCCTCCCCTTTGGCAGGTAGGTGGGCTTTCAGTTCTTGGAGGTTTTTGAAAAGGGCCTGGACCGTCACCTTTCTGAGAAGGCTTAATTGATATTTCTACACATTGCAGAGGGCTTGGCGAGAGGATCCTTGTGGGTCTTCCAACGCGTTTATTCCAGGAAATGGGACAGCACCGAAAAAAGGAATAATAGCAACGCATCAGTTGATGCCTGAACAAGGTCTA